GAGCCCTTGACACGTCCCCAAACTCCTCTGTTCTCCAGCTAATCACAAAAGCAAAGTAAGATGGATATAACAAAAGGAGAAAATCATAAATATAAAACATGGAAAAATGAAAATAAAATACCATTTTAAAAAGCCAAGTTAGAGACCATCACCACTTCAAAGCCTCACAACTAGAAGCTCTGCTCCTGCTGGACCCAAAGTAGTTTGGGCCAAGGTTCCTTATTTCTTATTTCCTCCTCTGCCTCCTTCTTAGGCTCCGAGGACCACACAGCCTGTAGCTCAGCCTCTCTCCTCCCTTCCTGTGTGAAAACCTCTTCTAATCTCTAATACAAGATGCTATGTAAATAATCGACCTTTTTCCTCCTGTCGCATTACCTAAACCAAGCTTGCTATCTTAGAACCATGCTGCTGAAGCAAAGTCTGATATTCTAACACAATGTGTACCAGGCACAGATGTAAATCTTTACTATATTAAAGTGCTATATTTTCCAGGAGTGAAACTCCTCTCAAACAGATGTGCTCCTAGGTCCCTGTCACCCAGCCTTTGGGAGACTCTCTGCCCACCTCTCCAGTCTCACTCCTCCCCATCCTCCTCCCTCCCTTGATGGCACACAGACAGAATCTTTAGTCCTGGGGGCACAGCTTCCTCTCTGAATACTCCAACTTCTTCCAGTTCAGGGGCCTCTGTATTTGGTAGATTCCTTTCAGGAGAACTCACTTGGCTACACAGGCCTTTGCTTTCATCTCTAATGACACTCTGACCTAGGGACAGTCCCTGAGAATGGGCTAAAGCTGTTCCCTCTCATATAGAGACTCACTCAGCAGACAGTTCTAGCAGCCACAACCACAGAGTATGATTAGTCCACAGTGGGGATGCTAGATTCTGCTAAGGTCTCTGTTTATTCCTCATGCCAGTTTCCTAGTCCCAAAGGGCATGATTGGGAAGCCAAGTCCCATCACAACATCCCCATCTCAGAATCAATCAGCTGATTAATGGACCAGAACTGATGTCCCTTTAAATCTATTCTCAGGAACTAGACTTCTCAGAAAGGGACCCTAGCCCCAGCCCTGAGAAGGGCAAGGAGCACCTGCTTAAATTGTGGTAATTTTTAGCCAAATTTCCAAAGTTGTATGAGCCTACTCGTAGTAAGATGTCTAGGCTAAAGGAACTGGTGAACTTAAAAAAAAAAATTGCAAGCCAGCTGACAAAATGAAGAAAAAAATAGTTTTTATTAGTGGAAGTGTATCCAGCTAAAGTCAGACAGCTCCACCATATCTCAACTTCATTACTCTCAAAATTACGCGCATAGCTCTTAGAAGGACGGTTTCTGTTGCATCGTAAGATATGTGAAGTTTCATAAAGTATAAATATATAGTCAAGTCGACATGAAGGTGCCATACCAAGCTTTTCATTCCAGCTCCTGGGATATGGAGGCAAAAGGATCTGTGAGATACTGAGGCCAGCCTGGTCTAACATAGGGAGTTCCAGCCAAGTTGGGGCTACACAGTGAGACCCTATTCTAAAAAAAATAAAAACTAAAGTGTATTTGTTAAGTATTGTAATGAACTATTCCACAGTAGATTATCGGTAACAGAATAAATGGTATCTTGAAAGTTCAAGATTAAATGGCTTTGTGGGAGCCTAGGCAGTTTGGATGCTCACCTTACTAGACCTGGATGGAGGTGGGTGGTCCTTGGACTTCCCACAGGGCAGGGAACCCTGATTGCTCTTTGGGCTGATGAGGGAGGGGGACTTGACCGGGGGAGGGGGAGGGAAATGGGAGGTGGTGGCAGAGAGGAGGCAGAAATCTTTAATAAATAATTAATAATAAAAAAATAAATAAAAGAAAATTAAATAAAATCAACAAGACTGATTTATCTGTAGGAATATTTACAAAATTCATCTTGGATCTTTCTGTCAATCCTCTCAGTTGATGATGTTTTCTATAGTATAACAAAAACACAGACAGCAACTGCATCAAAGGGAAACATGATTATTTTAAAGATGTATCAGACAACATACAATATAGATTCATGGTTGTAATAATATGAAAATACTTGGCTCGGCTCTAACTCGACATCTGCGAGGGTGGGGATGCGCATTCTGGAATGTTTCCACTGCTCAAAGGCTTCTCAGTCACCTCTCATTGCAGTGACCACTGTCCGCCAGGGTAAGCAAACAGATAGGGACAACAGAATAGAGGTTCCCCTATTGTAACTACTGACAGTATTGGAGCCCATGGATAAGACAAGTCTTCCACTGAGTCCCATGGACTTTCACTAGTCACCATGTTCTTGAGTTCAAGCAAAACTTGTAAATGCTAGGTGGGACAGCCAGACAGATTTCCAGACCCCTTCATGTCTGTCATGCATCTCTAAGAAGACTGAAGATCAAAGCAGGCATCACAATCAGAGCCCTGCAGGAGGCAGGAGAGCTCAGGGGCTGATGGCGCCCTCTGGTGGCCTCATGAATGTAGAACTATCTTGAACAAATCTTTCTAGAAAAGCTACAAATCCAGGCTCTCATTGCAAAAGGACTATTTTAACGTGTAGTTGCCTCAAATTTAAGAAAAAGAAAATTAAGAAACATCACTGTATACCAAAGAAACCCTGTCTTGAAAAACCAAAAAGAAAAAAAACAGTAGTTTAAACATAATCTTTTTTGAGCATAATAGGGAAGCCCCATTAGGCAAATCCAGAATGCTACTTCCTGCTATGTGACCTACCCCCAAAAATCCCCAGTGAGACACACATTCATTTTCTATAATCTAGACTGAGATCCACCCCTGTTCTCCTATGGACTGAGTGTCTCTAACCAAAGTCAGGGCTTACTCAAACTGAAATAAAAATTAATAGACTCTTATAATTCTGCTCTTCTCAACAACCAGACTGGCAGTGGATATACCAACACAACAGCCTTTGTTAACTCAGCAAAACCAAATACTTCAATGATTGTGACAAACTGATCCACTAGGATAAATGTTTTGTCTTTCTTAAATAAATTTAAGAATAAATATGACCTGGAGATGATTAGAAATTTAGAACTCTGAATGAAACCAGTGCTAGCCCCAACTCTGTTACACCTGGAGTAGGACTTCTCCCAGGCAGAGCCTGTGTCCTGCTACCCTCTTCCCCTTCATCTCTGCATTGCCTCCTTCCAGCTCCTGATTCAGAGCCCAGTGCTGAGAATAGGAGCACTGGGCATCACGGCAGCCTGCGGGGGAAACAGCACTGATGACCTCAACCCCTTGGTCCACTGTTTTCTTCCCTGATGTCTGCCTGGTCCATTCTCACCAAGGTAACCTCTCCTGACATGAAACACCCATCCTTATCCTAAGATCAATCCCATAATAAATGTATTCTATTTCCAGAGCTATGAGAAAGCCCAATCAACTCTAATGGTGACATTAGGCTCCCTTCTATTTATCTATGAGGGAATTAAAAGCTATATGTTCTCATGATTTTATGCCTTGGGGAGAGAAGGGAAAGCGACATTTCCAACTATAATAAAATAGATAAAACATGATCATGAAATACTTCAAAATTCAGGATGCCCCTCCCCTCACTTTTTTTCTTTAACTTTTCAATTCTAATTCTCTCTTAATGGTATTAATAATCAAGGCAGGAATCTATTTCCTGTACCACCAATGTCTATGTTGACTAAAGGAAACAAGAATTCTAAAATGTTCATGTTTGAGAGAATGTGCTTCAAATGAGTGAGAGACAGAGGCAATGCTGAGACCAGAATTAGGATGGCCATTTGAAATGCTTCTGCTAAGAATTCTGTTTAGTTCAGTGCCCCATTTTTTAAATTGGGTTATTTAGAATTTTACTGTCTAAGTTTTTGAGTTCTTTATATATTTTGGAGATCAGTCCTTTGTCTGATGTGGGGTTGGTCAAGATCTTTTCCCATTCAGTAGGCTGCCTTTTTGTCTTATTGTCTGTGTCCTTTGCTTTACAGAAGCTTCTCGGTTTCAGGAGGTTCCATTTATTTATTGTTGCTCTCAGTGTCTGTGCTACTGGGTTATATTTAGGAAAGTGGTCCCCTGTGCCCATGCATTGAAAACTACTTCCCATTTTCTCTTCTATCAGGTTCAGTGTGGTCAGATTTATATTGAGGTCTTTAATCCATTTGGACTTGAGTTTCGTGCATGGTGATAGATATGGATCTATTTTCATTCATCTACATGTTGACATCCAGTTATGCCAGCACCATTTGTTGAGGAGGCTTTCTAAAATTTTGTGGATTAATATCCGGTCTTCAATTTGATTACATTGGTCAATGTCTCTGTTTTTATGCCAATAGCAAGCTGTTTTCATTACTGTAGCTCTGTAAAAGAACTTGATGTCAGGGAGACCTACATCAGAGCACTGGACTGAGCACCCAAGGTCCAGTTGAAGAGTAGAAGGAATGAAAATATGAGCAAAAAGGTCAAGACTATGAAGGGTTCATCCACTGAAACAGTATACCTGAGCTAATGGGGGCGCTCACCAACTCCAGCTGGACTGGGAAGGAACAAGCATAGGACCAAACTAATTCCACTGAATGTGGTTGACAGTTGTATGGCTGGGGCAGACTGAGGGGCCACTGGCAGTGGCACTGGGATTTATCTCTACTGCATGTACTGGCTTTTGGGATCCTATTCTCTTTGGATGGATATCTTGCTCAGCCTAGATGTAGTAGGGTGAGCCTTGGACCTTACACAAAGCAATGCTACTTACCCTCTCTTAGGATTAGAGGGTGGGAGGGTGTTCGAGGGAATGGGAGGAGGGGAGAAAGTGGGAATTTGGATTGGTATTTTTTTTAATCTAATAAAAAAGAATTAGGATGATGTGAACTGTGAATTTGAGTATTAACAGCAGAGGGTCACCCTCTCCACCACTGCTGGATGAATGGACACAGAACATAGCCCTGCAGCTGGAAAGGCTGTTTGCGCTGTCAAATCCAGATGCTGTCTTTGAAGTCTCAGGAAGAGAGCCCCTCAGAGGACCAATGGGATTCAATCTGTAGGGTAAAGACTGTCTTCAATTATGTATACATTGTCTTCAGCTCGGGACCGGAAAACCACTGCATTTTGCAAAGCTCCAATCTTAGAGAAACGAAATGCTACCAGGCTGCAGAGAAAGAGAGAGAGAGAGATGTTGAAGAAAGAACAAGAGGTTACCTTTCAGGTCTAAGCAGAACTTTCAATCATGATGTATGCTCAGGACTCTAGGAGCCCCATTCACAAAACCTCTAACCACACAGGACCCTCCTATCCTATTAGGTCATAGAAAAGTTTATTTAATAGATAGCTGAAGAATAGGTTTTTAAGAGAGAGAGAGAGAGAGAGAGAGAGAGAGAGAGAGAGAAGTAGCTCATATTGGAATCCTTCAAGATACTAATGTAATAAAACACATAAGTTGAAGATCAAGACAGAGAGATATCTTTTCATCAACATGAGGTACCTAAGCAGAATGTTCGTTTTGGAACTGGGCTAGATGACTTGTGTGTTTACTTTGCACTGTGATGCTTTCAAAAGACTAAGGAGAGCCTGGTTGCCTGAGTGCCATCCCTGGAGCCCAGAGAAAAGGCAAAAGGAAAGAGCCTGCTCCACGGTGTTGTCCTCCACATACATACATCATGCTCACAGTGATACAAAGTTTCCTTTGTTTAAAAAGAAAGAGTTTTGAAGCTTGCATGGCATCTAACCCTCTAACATTAAGCAGGGAGTAGAAAGCATGTCAAGTCACAAAGCAGTTGTAGCTGCTGGTCTGGGGCACAATTTCAAGGCTACTGTATGCCACACATGCGCAGACACTGCATGCACACAAACAGCAGGAACTGCACTGGAAGGAATTTGGGGAGAGCACAGCAGGTCTTTTCACTTCCCCTATCCTGGCAGCTGTGGGAGGGGCTTCCCTGGGAGAGCTCATTCTATACCCATGATCATCAGGGTGGGCACAGTGGACTGATACTTGAGCTTCTAGATGTCATGGGGGAGCAAACCAGAGAAGAAAACAGACTAAGTCAGGGATGATGCTTTGACAGTGGGGTTTTGTCATTTGTGGTCATTTCTACCACTGAAATGTAGAACCGAAATGAGTATCTCCAGTCGGCCACATAGGAATGAACACCTGTGCTGAGAATTACACAGGACGAGAGAGAGCAAGCTCCACTCTGCCTGGACAGTCACACATGAAGGGAAACAGTGTAGGGTCAGGACATTCATGAGTCATCTTGATATAGCTGACAGAAAAAGTCATGAGAAAACGCCTAGAATCTTTTATGTATTGGTTAGTGGGGTTTTGTGGTTTGCTTTTTTGCTTTTTAATTATATTTTATTTATTTATTCATTCATTCATTCATTCATTCACTTATATTCATTTGCTTGTGACAGGGTCTCACTATTTTTTTTCCTGGCTATCTTGTGACTTCTTCAAAGACCAGACTAACCTGAAATCATAGAGACCCACTTGCCTCTGCCTGCTGTGTTGGCATTAAAGGGGTGAGCCACTACACCTGGCCTTATTTATTTTTTGACAGTGTTGCTAGAAGTCTGGGCTGGAACTAAACTTATAGCCCTCCTGCATTTACTTACTGAGTGTGGAAATAACAGGTGTGTGCCCCCTCACCCGACTTCTCCCCTCTTCTTTATGTGCTGTGTTTTCTCCAATATTTTCTTTTAAATTAAAAGTGATTAAAAAGTAACTTTGGGGACTGAAGAGTTGATCAGCAGTTAAGGATGCTTGTTGTACAAACCAGAGAACCAGAGTTCAGATGTTGCCTTAGGTAACAGGTAGAACATATCCTGCATGCCTGTAACCCAGCACTGAGGGAGAGACAGACAGGAGGATCGCTCGGGCTCTGGCTATTGCGAAAGCAAGCAATGTGAACTGCAGGTCCCAGGGGCACTCTGTATCAAAGCAGAGAGTGAGAGATAGAGGAGGACGCTCACTGCCCTCCTCTGGCCTCCATGTATGTGTTCTTGCACACTCTCATCCCTGTCTTCTCCATGTCCCTGTCCCCTGTTTCTGCCCCACCTCTACCTATCCTACCCTTATCTTTCTCACATTCAAAATAAAAAAAAATGTGAAATCAATGTTTCAAAAAGATGCCTTATCAATACAGAAACAAAAATTATGGACTAAAATAATGTTGTGTTCTTCCAACTCTAAGGGATGGCTCCTTTTTCTTTTTCAGAAAGAGTTAGTGTTAGTTTGCTTTATATTATTTTATTTACCAGTTAGATCTATATGCATGGGCTCCTGAGGTTGAGGCCAGTGTAGTGTGACCTCATATTTACAGACTTGTTTTTAATCAATAGGATGAGACTAATTATTGTTTCTACCTTATAGATTTATTACTGTGAAGGGAAGAAGTGACTGAGAAGAAAAAGCTAACTGTATCAGGAACTTCTAATGGACTGGCTCAAGACCCAGTCTGTGGCTTGATTCTTATGCTTAACATAGACATAGGTAAGTCTATGGATAACAGACTGAAGGACATGGAGTTTTTGCTGAAATACATACATAGCCCTGTGTACATCCAATCTTTAGCCAATTGAAGAAAATTACATGGCTGTAGACTAAGGCAGATAACACTGGAGAGAATAAAAGAGCCCCAAGTACAGTAAACAAGACAAGAGCAGTGAAGCCTGGCAAAGCAGACACCAGTGTAGTGAGTGGAGGGGACTGATGTGGAGATACTGGCCATTCGCAGTTCTGTCGCACTCCCGGCAGACTCAGAAATAATCTTCCTCTAAATTTTATGCTCCCTTGGGTCTTCCTCAAACACCTCACCACCTAAGCACATCATTCCCTGCACACTTCCCCCAAAGCACCTAAAAGGACTTTTGTACTAGACTATATGCTCTGTCATACATTTTATCAGTTTATAATAAAAATAAATACTTGATGAAAGAAGACACTGAAGGAAACAAGAGTGGATCGAAGTAACTCCTTCAATACCAGCTCCAGGGAGCAAAGCCCACAATTAATCCAGTGTCTACCTATAAGAGATTAGAATCAACAGGTCTTCTGTTTCTGTCATACCATAAATCAGGGAAATACAGAATACAGATAATACCTTTGAGAAATGAGGATAATAAGAAAGGGACTCATTAAAATTTATTTTGGGATACAACCTACAGAATGGAGGCCAGCCATTGTGGAACACACCTGAAATCCCAGAGTGAAAGACTCAGAGGCAGGAGGATTGCGAGTTCCAGCCTGGCCTAGCTACATAGCAAGTTCCAGGCCAGTCTGGACTACATAGTGAGCCCTGTCTCAAATCAACCAACCCAGCAATGAATCAATTAGTAGAGAACGATTTAGTACAAAAGAGAGCATATTCCCAAGACTGTTGTTCAAAAAGATTCAACACAATCTATGCCACATTACCTTAGAGACTGCGACTTGTTTCTCGCACAGATGTACCCTATATTGGGGTGGGAGGAGGTGGGAGAAGATGAAGAGAAAATTGCACATGTCATCAGAGACACTCATGACACTTTCCCCTAAACAAGGATGTTGTCCTATTTTTGATTGAACCGTCCTCGGGTAACTTTGGGTAATTCCTTCTGTCCCCCACAGGAAGGATTGTCTGCCCCTTCGCTGTCTGGTGTATTCACCCACGTGACCTAATGTACTAGAGTGAAAGGGACTTTGTTCACTGAGACAAACAAAAAGTCTCAATTTTTTTTTCCTAATGAACTGCCAGAGAACAAACCCATAAGGCAAAAATAAACAACTTTGGATTAAGGAAGGGAAGACACTTGTGGTATTTTACTCAATTTCTATGTAATTTTCCCTTTCAGACATGATCTGATATGTAGCCCAGGCTAGCCACAGACCTTAAGGATGCTGGTATCATAGGCACATGACACTGCCACCACCTTAAATAATCATTTTGGATAAACAACTTTTAAATGATTAGAGGGAACCATCTGAAATCTGACAGGCATATCCTTATTCCCCATTTGCCATGAAGCAGGTTAGTAACGGGCTCATGCATGGAGTTTTTTAAAGCCCATGGCTGAAGTTCATTGACTTCACAGAGAGAAACACTGTGTACAGCTGTACAGCTCATGGAAACAGCATGTAGGCCTGGGTGCCACCTTCAAATTGTCCATTCCAGCATTAGTCAGGGGGCTTCCCACCAATGTCTCATTTGCCTCTTCTACTAAGTATATTACAGAATATTCAACAGTATCATTATGGGAAACAAACAAGATTCCAAGGGTAGAACAGGAGAGAACACATCAAAGGTGTTTTAGTGATTTAAAAAAAAAAACCAAACCTATCAGAAATCTCTTGTGCGGTAATATTTAATTTTTTATGGAGAATATAATGATTTTATTTTTGATGGCAATGACTGAAAAACAAGAGGCAGGGTTAGGAACTACAGTGTTGGTGAGGACTGCAGCCTATTCTTGTGAGCCCAGCACTGGGATGTTCGAGGCCAGAGGATCTGGATGTTGGGGGCCAGTCTCAGCTACCTAGTAAGGCCAATACCAGTATGGAGTACATGAGATCACATGTACAGAACACGAATCTTTGGAGACACAGTAGCAATGGTTCAAGGTCACTGAGCAGAGCACTCACCAAGCATCAGAAATCAGTCACAGAGCTCTTTACATCCTAACACATTCCTTGGGGAGGAGAGGGTTTAACATGAGAGCCTTAGCTCTGGGGATACACAGGCCATGTGAACTCAAAGCCCCTGTTGCATGTACAGATGCTTAAAGAAAGACAGAGAACCCTAGCTCTCCTTCCTTGGGGACAGCTGTGACATGACTTACTGGTGATAACCACGGTGCTCACAAGCAGCAACAACAGCAGGACAGCAATGGGGATGCTGATATAGAAGCCGCTAGTCATGTTCTTCTGTGCCTTCCTCGAAGGGATCAATTCCTAAGGAAACAATAAATAAAATAACAGTAGAAATAAATAAACAGCAGTAAACACAAGAGACACCAAGTAAGAGGAACAGAAAACATATGCTCGACATTAACCTAGACTCTGGGTTCTAGAAATTCATCTTTGCTTGCCTGTGGCTAGTCTGGAATATGCAGGAAGACCCAAGGATCTGAGGTGGTAATGGGCACTGGAACTCTGAGACAATGTGAAATCAGTGTCTTTGGTGATGATGGAAACTATGGTGGTCTATGTTGCTCGAGGTGATTACCTCGAGGTAGATGCCTCAGCAAAATTCTAATCATGTACTTAATGTGGGTTCATACATCATGTATATGATTATGTCTGCCTTAATAGTCAAAAGGTATTTCCTAAATGTATCATCTTATGGTATTTAAAAAATAGATCATTTCTTAGTTAACTTGCTCTCAGTGTGCTCAGGTCTTAGCCTGGCCCTTCATCACAGACCCTACTTGTCCTGTATATGCAACTCAAGATTCCATACAAATAATAGCAAATGATCAGCATGGAAGTATATACACACAGACAAACTTGGCAGGTTATATTAAAGTTTTTAGGAATATATTTATATATTAAATATGAATATATGTAATATATAGTACATAGCATATACAGTTAATCGTTATATGTATGAATAATTACATATATTATTATATTATATATAATGTACAATGATATATAACATATTATATATGAGTTAATATATTTTATATATATATTAAAAATTAAAGAAACAGAGACCATGAATTATAAAGAAAGCAAGAAGAGAGTATATGGAAGGGTTTGGAGGGGGCTGAGAAAAAAAGAAAACAATACAAGTATATCCAATAACTTTCTAAAAATAGTAGAAAGACTCTATTTATGGCTGCAGCCCGATTACTACCGTGTGATCAGACAGAAATGCAGAATCTCCCTAGTGCCCTGGTGCAGGTGATCAGGGATCAGCACACACTGGAATAAACAGGAGATAGGCTGGGCAACAGGTGAGACCCCTCTAATAACTTGGCACTAATCTACTAGCCCTAAACAGAGCCCATGGATGGTTTAACTGTACGAAAAGGGAGATCAGAGACCAAGTCTTTGCCCGTGTGTGAGCCTCGTCTCTGTATTCAAAATTCAGGTTCCTTTGCTCTGTTTAGTCAGAGAGAGCAGGGACAAGGTAGTTAAGCTGTGTGAGCACTGTCTCTACGTCCTCAAACAGCATGTTCACTGGGTTCTCAGGAAAGGGATTCTCAGGTATTCTTGACAAACATTGTGGGAAATACAGACGAAAATAAGTTTTGCTTGTTATTCTGACATCATCTCCTGATCCCAGGCTGTTCTGAACCTCACTAATTGACAATGACCTCGAACCTCTGGCCCTCCTTCCCTAATCTCCTGAGAGCTTGGACTGCACATGTGTCTACTGTGCCCACAGAGCATTTACTTCAGAACATGTTCCTGATTGTGAATGGCAGCAATGCTTATCTTTTTTCATTTATCTTCACAGATTTTGTTCAACCTTTTAATGAAACAGAGTCCATGAAGTTGATCTCCTGGTTCCAGATGTAAACTACCATTGATAGCCCTGAGGATGTACACCTTACTTCCAGGAACTGAGAGGTGGAAGCAGGAGGGTCAGGAGTTCCATATTCTTCCCAGATACATAGCAAGGTCAAGACCAGCCTGAGCTCCATGGGATTTTGCCTCAAACAAACAAACAATACCCTGAAAACAAAACTGTGTGCTGTTGTACATTGGTTTCAATGCACCTAGGGACAACTTCGCATCTTCAGAGTCCAGATTCTACTACAGCTTATTCTCAATTTAACTCCAAGTTATTCCTCCGTGCTGCTAAGCATGACCGTTTCTCAGGTAACCGAGGGCAAGAACAACCTTGATATGCAGCGCTGTTTTGTTTTACACAGAGTCATAAATCTGCTCCCTAGCAACACGTACTTACTGGTGTCTGATATTTAACTAGGTATATACACAGATTCTTCCCATAACTGCCAGACCACTGGGTGCTAATGTCAATTAAGTCATTATATTTTTAGTGTCAGGATGAGCACGTGACACAGGCCTGTAATCCCAGTACTCAGTAGGCTGAGACAGGGAGATTATGAATTCGAGGCCAGTCTGAGTTATAGAATGAAATCATGTCTCAAAGAATGGGGGCAGTTGGTGGGATTCATTCACACAATTTCAATTCATAAAAGACAGAGGCAGAAGGGTCAGAAGTTCAAGATCATCATTAGCTATGCAGTATGTTCAAAAAAAAAAAAGAGAGAAACTTTCTTTCAGCTTGGTGGTAGTGGCACACGCCTTTAATCCCTACAGTCAGGAGGCAGAAGCAGGGAGGTTCTCTGTGAGTTCCAGGCCAGCCTGGTCTACAGAGTGAGTGAGTTCCAGGACAGGCTCTAAAAGCTCCAGAGATACCCTGTCTCAGAAAACCAAAGAAAAACAAACTTACTTTCAGTCTTTATGTTATGTTCTGTCAATAGGTATAAGTGTCTTTGGCCATTTGGCCCTGTGGAGATATGTCCAGATATGCAGAGAGTGTCTTGAAGTGTCTTGTTGTTGCTTGATGGTTTTTGGCAGTTCAAGCCCAGGGCTTTGCACACGCTAACAAGGGTGCTGCTACTTCCAATAGCCATATAATTCTCACAACCCCTATCTGGCTGTTTACTTACCTCAATCATGAATTTTTTTTTCTGTGCTAATTATATACATTAAAACAAACCTTGTTTCTTCCTGGAACCCAAACAATTCTATTGATAAATTTACTTTGACTATTTGTAGAGATAGAACTCTGTCAAGAATTCTGGAAGCAGGGTGCCTTGAATTTTTCTCAAGCTTAGCATACAGAAACTCCAGGAAGAATCATGCAAAATCTAAAATGTCTGAGGACTTAATAGCTCATGTGGAGATTTGTGTATGGAAAAAAATATCACTAATGGGGTCTACAGAGAATGGTCAATGGGCAGAAAAGCAATATAGGGGCAGTAAATGAAATCTTGAATTTAAACAGTCTATGTAAGAACCATATTCTTTTTAATTTTTTTATTTTTATACATTTATATGTTCATTCTTCTACAGTTTTGAGGCACCACCTCACTATTTAGCCCAAGTTGCCTAATGGCTGGCTTCAAACTTCTGATATCATTAATTAACTTCCTGAATCCTAAGACTAAGGAAGGAGCCAATATATCTGATTCGTGACTTTTCTTCATTTTTTTTAATGCGACTATCTGTAAACTAATTTTATAGACAAAATCTTTAAGTACAAATTGTTTCCTGAAAAAACATAGAAGCAAATACAGCTAATAAATTAGAGGAATATGCTTACAGTGTAATTATTCCAAGAGTCGTCTGACGATATCACAGTGTTATTCCAATCTGTTCAACAAGAGAGAAAATTAATTATAAATACAAGAATTTAGATGTTTTTACTATAACTGTAAATATTACCCACAATGCCAATGTGTCTTTTCCATGTAAGGGTGGGATTTAATTTTGGACAACAAATTTTGAACATTTACGTGTTTGAAGTGTATTTAAAATGTCTATTTTATATAACAAGGAATCTTTTATTTTCATTGTTTCTATGTATTTATCAATGAAACAGAGTCCTCTTTCCACTGATGTCTGGCATATATGAGGTTTGTAACATCCTGACAAGGAGCCCCTTAGTTACATTTTACAGATGTATAAGAAGACATCAGATGACAATATATTTCAGATTTTAGCGAATGGCAGACATCTCTGCTGTCAGTGTACACGCAGTGCCCACACAATGAGCGGAAACACTACCAGTCTATGGGAGTCCCCAACAACGGCCAAAGCTGACATTGTCCAGCACTAATAAAGTTGAATGACTCATAGCCCCTCTCGTTCTCACTGTACTGTGTTTACATTTTACTCTCTGTGAGAGCCCTTACAAGAAGCCACAGGCAATGACTAGGTGTAGGCAGCATCTATAGTCTGGGCTCTGTTTGTGAGCTAGGCCCTTAAGTAAGACCTTGCAGGAACAAGAGGAAGTGATTCAGTAAGGTGAAGCCGAATCAGAGAAAACTTGAACTCAGTCCTGACCATATTCATTAGCAAAGGGACCTCATAATCCAGGTGCTGCAATAAGCACTTAGGAATGCACGCATGGGCACTCAGCACTGTCGGAAACATGGGCGATGTTATTATTGTTATGTGATGGAAGGAGCAGGGAGCAGGGCCATGAACACTGTGGAGTTGACTTTAGAAATATCGTACCGCTTGTGTAATGAGGATAACATTCAACAACTTCTCCAAAGAAGTGTGCCTAGAATAGGGGACAAATGGAAAGGTATTTGTGTCTCCAAGGGGAAGTAAAGAGTTTCCCCAATCTAGCGGTGACATAAATTACCATAAACTAATGAAATGGGATGGTGCATAAGGTTCCTAGCAGGCACATCTATGAAAGGCAGGTGTGGCCCATGTGACACCCAAATCCCTTTCGATTCTAATATTTCTTGCTTTTGCAGAATGTTCACCAAGGGAGAGATTCCAAGAGCACAGTAAGGACTCACCAGGAGCCTCAAGTTACAAGGCCAAAATGCCAGAAGTCTCAAGGAAACCAGGAACCCAGGTGCAGCTGTTCCTGCTCACCCAGCAAAGCTCTCCTCTGAGCAGGGTTAGGTGACATGGCCTTACAGAGCCTGAACCCGCTCCTTCCTTCTTCTTCACACCTGGGAACAGTGGCAGACAGCGGCTCCTGCTGCCTTTTGTTTGGATCTAGTTTCATTTTGTTTTTCTGCCTGGAAACAGTTCACACTAAGGATTTCCCTCTCAACATCCAGAGGTCACCATTACCTAATCCTTCCTGGTTCTGTGGGTAAAATTGTGACTTTAAATTAACTAGAGTCCAGGAAAGCCTAGGAAAAGGTAAGCCACATATATGAGACCACAGAGAAGCAGCTTCTGAGAATATTGAGTCACTCTCATACTCTCTCTCACACACACACACACACACACACACACACACACACACACACACACACACAAGAATCCTGCAGGACTGGCTCTGTTAGGAGGTACCTCAAGTGTGGGTCAGCTCTGCACCACAAAAGGCAGCATGTGGCAGTCTCAACTGACCCCTGTTGATACCGTGGAGCTGACTGAGAAAGATGGCAGAGCCCAGCATCTCCACAGCTGATCAAGCAGCACATGCCACTACACTTTTAAGGAGAAGAAGTATAAGACCCAACCAGAGTGTGGACGGTGGGACAAAGTGTACCGAGTGAGTGAGGATCAGTGCTCAGCGCTGCAAGTCTATGTGGTGCTGCTGTTCGTATACTCAACCCACCTTAGTCCACTTGGGTTGTTATTCCAAAACTGCTTAGAATGAGTAAATTATAAACAAAAGAAATGCATTGGTCATAGTTCTAAAGGCTGGGAAGTCCCAGATCCAGACACGAGCTGACTGGGTAGCTGCTGAGGGCTCCTTTGTTTAGAGATGATACTTCTTGTGTGTCCCCAAGGGAAGAAAAGGGAAACAGGCCCACCAGTCCTCTCACAAAGGATCTAACACTGTGCACGAAGAACATCTTACTTTTATATCCTAATCACCTTCCAGATGACCATTTAATTTTTTTAAGGTTATAAAATGTTTTTAATAATTGCTAGAATAAATAGTACAGAAAATCTGTAGGGGCAGAGAACAGAGCAATACCATCAGACAATATGGCTAGCAGACATTTACACAAAATCCACCCGACAACAGAAAAACACTTTCATGCTAAAAAATACACAGAATATCACTCCACAAGTTAGGGGCAGAAGGAAACTGCTTCCCCATAAGAAAATTATGTAAGGAAAAAAAAAACCAAAAAAAAATCACACTTCATGGTAAAAGAATGGAAGCTTCTCTTTTAAGACTGATATCTAGAAAGAATGGTCATTTTCATATCTAATAACATAATCACAAGTCACCAGTCAATTTATAAGAAAAAGCAAGAACAAACGGTTTCTAAACTTAAAATGAAGTAAATTTTTTTGTTTTCCATATAGTATGATCCCATATACAAACTCTAAATGTTCTATTAGTGTGTGTGTGTGGCATGAATTAGAACCAATAAACACACTCAGTAATTAGCAATAATCTACCATTCGTTTCATATCTGTATATGAGAAAAAGGATTGAGAGCAGGACCTCAAAACCAATATTTTTACCTCAATGTCTATTGCAGCAATATGTGCAGTAGCCAAAAGGTAGAAGTTGCCCAAACAAGCACGGATGGATTAATGGTCTCAATTACATAAAAGTTCAAATACTTTATCAGATCATATAGGCCTGAAAATCTTATTAGTACAGATTACCATTTGTTTGGCCTTTTTCTTGTACGTTTCTATTGTTTCAGAACTAATTCATTTTCTTGAAATTTCTAAACTTTGTGCTATATAATTTTCTTTATTCTCCTCTTTTAAAATCGTGACAGTACCTGCATTGCATCTTCTTGCTCGTCCCTAGTTGGTTCTCTGTAACCGGGCTGCTATGATCCATCGGATGTGTAACATTATCACTTTGCAGTCTCTAGAAGGACTCACTTTTGGCTGTTCTCAGCTTCTTCACGGACTGCTCACAGTGTGTTCCTAAAGCTTCCCCCTTATGCTTACTGTTTTCTTCCCTCACTACTGTAAGCGACCAGATAAAGCTTTTTGGACATTGAGACCTTCCCAAGGTAGCAGCATCACACTGGTGATGGTTTCCACACACAGTCTGCCTTGTGCTGTGGAATTCTCCTCTCTCTATATCTATCTATCTATCTATCTATCCATCCATCCATCCATCCATCCATCCATCTATCTATCTATCTTGCTTGCTTGCTTTCTTTCTATCTATCTCGAGGTTGATTGATTGAGTGACTGAGACAAGATCTCTTATCCTCCAACCATTCCTTTACTAAGAGTAATTTCCAATATTTTCTAACTCATCTTCCGTTGCTCACAAAAGGCTTCCACATGGAACACTCTAGTGCAGCCTGTGTTTCCCTTTCCTTCCTGGAGTCACTACTTTGTTCCCACCAATAGCTCACTTCACATGCAGAGCTGAGCTCTTGCCTCTCCAGGAGTCCTCTCAATGCTTCCCTTTTCAGAACAGGAGAGGATCTTAAAGTAAGTTGGTTATGGCCTGACAGGAATTCCTAAATCTGGGTTTCCTCATGGGCCCCTCAGTGTCTTTTAGGATCCTCACTACAACCTGATCCTTACATTTGCACGACACCCTCCTGCTCTGCTCTACCTTCCTGTTTCGCCTTGGCGCTCAAACATTTAAGAGGATGTGACTGTCTTTCTGAACTAATAACAGGGCAACACAAATGTCAGGCAGTCACACTTTACCCAATTCAGTTCTTGATACAATACATCATGAACTTAACTTTCTTCCCCAGCCTGGGTCCCTTTCTCCCCTATTCTTACAACCCCCTCCCCATATTCCATGAACAGTGTCTGGGGCACCAGGATGAGCACAGGAAGTGGATGTGAGGAAACACATCCTCATCTGAGAGCAGCTAGAGCGTCTGCCTTCTCCCTGGACTTTCAACCCTCAAGTGCAATTCTTTAGGAAATTCACAATAGAAAAATAAGATTACACTAACACTAGGCATGTGGCCCAGTCCTTCAGGGTCCTCCTGTTTGAAATTACCTGAAGGCCAGCGAGAGGAGAGGGAAATCTATACCTCCTGTCATATTACCCTAACAACAAAAACGAAAAGCTCTGTGACATCTTCTCTTGGCAGAATTCAGTGCTACCCCGGGAGAAGGGCAGCTTTTAGGAAGCCTTGGGAATCCCTCTAAGAGCTCTCTTTTCACTCCCAGATAAAGGTGTGAACCTATGCTTGCCTTCAGGATGATAATTTGAAACATGAACTGTATGGTCTTGCTCTAAAACTTGAGCATGTTAAATCATGTCCTAAAATGTTGAATTTGATATTTGTGTTTTATCCTTAAAAGGACATACATTGGACTTTTCAGGCTACATGAATAAACGGAGAGCTCCTTAAGCAAACCTTTAAAAGGCATCCATTGCTCTTTGGAAGGATGGTGTATGATGTCTTTTCAGTGAGGATGCAAAAACAGCACAAACCCTCCAAATATCCCTGCTCATGACCTGGGAGTCAGAAGAACCAGCTTCCAACTCAAGGGACCAGGGACAGAGTCTGAGCCACTCTCTGTTTTCATGACTTCCACTATGAACTGTCAGTTCTTGTCACTATGAAAGAGGGACAGATCACAGCTATACAGGACATAATTGTCAGAGAGGAACTGCATCATAGAGCATGGAGCATGCTGCCTGATATTCAGGAAATGCTAAATGCCATCATCCCTGAACTATGGTTTCATCTGGATGGCCCAGTTTCAGGATGGATGTCAAGGGTCAAGAGTCTCCCTACCCTGAGTCTAATTCTCAGTTGGTCCTTAGACTTTCAGCACAAAGTCAGGTTCAACTGATCCAGATTCCATCAGCTTTCCTAGATCAGTGATCCACCTAAGTCTGGCTCGAGTGAATCCCAGGGAACAGAGAGATGGTGTCCTCTATCTTGAAGCTCTTACACAGCAGAGGGTGAATACAACTTAAGACTGGAAAATTACAGGCTTTGTGAGGCTATTGTTGGGACACAGCTAAGAACCTCTTCACCTATATTATACTTCTGACTTGATTCAGTGTCTGTGTGTTCTACATAACCCTTATAAGAAGAACTCTGGGTCCTGAATCACTTTGAGTTTTACCTGGTGTGTGAGTCTGCGTGTGTGCTGGTGTTGTAGGAGTAGAGGTGGAGACTCTGGGTGATGCTGGTATATGTGTGGGTCCTGTTGACAGAGTCGTGGGTCTTCCTGTAGCTGTGGGTCTCCCTGTAGTTGTGGGTCTTCCTGAAGTTGTGGGTCTTCCTGCGGTTGTGGGTCTCCCTGTAGTTGTGGGTCTTCCTGTTATTGTGGGTCTTGTTGGAGGACTTGTGGAAATTTCTGGATTCGGAAATCAAGATGAAACAAGGACGAGTCAACAAGAAGAGAGAAGAGCTTATGTTGTAGTTGTAGCACCAGTGAGAGGCTCCCCACCAAGGCTCCTCTCCTGAACACACATCTTTGTCACTGACCAACAAGGACAGGGTAGAGCAGGGCAACGGAGACAGCTCCCCAATAGGAGACAAATGCATTGACAACATGGACATGAGAACAGAGCCCATTTCTAAGGGCACAGTTTATAAATGTCAGATGTCAGGTCCTCTGATCTCTCAGCATCTCTGAGACTGAGAGGGTACAGGGGACTAGGACTTCTCTCAGTGATGACTGACTTCACCCACAGTTTCCAGGTGCAGCATGTTCCCTTCAGTCAGTCCTGAGAGGACACAGAATACAGCCCAGCATCTTAGCACACATACCCCACACAAATCCCAACACAAATGGGATTTTCACATTTGGGTCGAGAGCAGACATTGACTTCTATGGTTTCTTCTAATCTAAGAGAGACAAGCTGAATACCTCTTATCCAAAAATGCTTGGTACCCAGAGTTTAAGAATTTAAGTCTTCCTGAACAATTTGGAATATCTGGAATATAAATAACACCTTATATGTCGGGCTTAGATATAAACATGGATTGATGTAGCATTCATAGAACTACGCATTACACATACAGACCTTAAAAGATAACTTTATAAACTGTGAATGATGCTGCATGTGATAGTTTCACGGCATTGAATTATCCAGGTGTATTATCAAGTCTGTGCTCAAAAAGATCCAGATTTTAGAGCACTGTAGACTTTTGATGTTTGGGTTAGCCAGGTTCAACCTATGATTCACAAATCAACAGCATCTCAAGTGCTGTAAGCCTCCAAGCAGCTGTTGATGGTCTCAGAGTGCAAGGTTCTAAGACAGGAACTAAGGCAAAGTGGTGCTGGCATCACAGTCAGGCAGAACTCAAACTGTCTGTGTCAGCAGACAGGCCATCCCTGTAAGTTATCTCCCTCGATCTTAACACTGTTAACTACAAAACAAGACCTCAACAATGAGTAATAATTGCTCTGAAAACTCTTCTTTATGTGGGATACTCTTCTAATTACTCAATCCACTGTGTGTTTATCTTTAAATAAAGAAAACCTATAGTGTTCCTACAAAGTGCAGGGAGGTGGGTGTGGAGCATCCCCCCTAAATTCAATACATTTATTTATTCATTTATTTGTGTGTTCATAAGATGTCACAAATGTGGATGTCAGGGGATAACTCTGCAGAGTCTGTTCTCTCCTTCCACCATGTGGGCCCAGGGGTTGAACTCAGGTTACCAAGCTTAGCCCTGGGCACCTTTCCCCACTGAGCCAGCTCACTGACTCTCAGGCCACTTTTATGTAGAGGGTCAGATGTAAGTGTTTTTGTTTCAGGAACATTAAAAATGGGTGCTCAGGAGCAAGCCCTCCTGTCAATCATTTTGAAAGTCATTGCTGACAACATAGCAAGGAGTGGGTGTGGCTGTGCTGCAGGAAATCTATTCACACCAGCAAGTGGGTCTATTACAAACCTGGCCTGGTTAGTTCGCTGAGACAGTCTAATGTGTGGGTAGAGGCTTGAGCACAATACAAACCCTCCCTAGAGAGTGAAAATCTCCGAAGGAGAGAACAGCAAGCACAGGAACAATCTTTCTGAAGATCACTATGAGAACAACCAGGAAAGATTCAACAGATTAGGAGCTATGGTACACTTGCTCTGGGGAATTATTCTCCCAAGTAGTGGAAAAGTCCAAAGGAGCCAATAAGGGTCCTAGGACAGGGGGATACGTCTTCCACTGTGTTAAATCATGAGAAAATGTCGACTTGTCTGTTAAAGGATGAAGCAGAGTTGGTGGATCACTTATAGACTCACTCAAATAGTGACTTTGTAAGCACTGACCTGTTAACAAATTTCTAAATTCATAAAACCTTCAATTAATGAACTGAAATTAATAATGTTATGCTATGATGCCATGCCCATCCTTCTTCTGGTGCTGGGGATATAACCCCAGGGTTAAAGGCAGGAATGTGTGATAGACAAATGTCTTCCCAAACTACAACTGTAATTGTTTAAGTAAAATGCTTGCAGGATCCCCAAGTGGCTGCAGTGGACAGCGAGGCCATGAGACCATACTGCAGGACTCCAAAGTGGTGGCAGGCAGCAGTCAGCAGGTCCCGAGAGTAGCCAGTCCCAGACAGGGATGGAACATTTCCCCAAGTGGCTGCAGTGGGCCATGAGTCACAGGCAGGGAGCCGCGTGGTAGTGAGAGACTTCAATGGGACAGCCAGTCCCACAAGGGGAGATAGACAGATGGGGAAGCCATGAGACCATGCTGCAGGTCTCTGAAGGCACCTGGTCCTGGGCAAGAAGTCATGCAGCAAACAAGAGACAGAGACATGGATAGGCACACCATGCAGAGTGAGGTTGGATATTTATTTAGTGGGTTATGGAGGAGAAAGGGGAGAAGGGATGAAGAGAGAGAGGGGGGGAAGCACTTAGGCTGGAAGATGAAGATTAGCTTGCCTCCATGGAAGGGGGAGGGAGTGGGCGTGGTTTATCTCTTAAAGAGACAGAGCAGACCAGTACAACAATAGCCCTTATTTCCTTATTTGTTTATTATATTTGCAGTTCTAGGAGCAGAAGCCAAGGCTCTGTCATGCTAGACAAATTTCTACACATCCCCTAAGGGAGTTGTTTTATAAGAGAACTCTTTCTTACTCCCCTCCCCTGCCTCAGGTCTGTCACCTCTCTCTTTCTCTCCCCCCCCCTTGTGTGTGTGTGTGTGTGTGTGTGTGTGTGTGTGTGTGTGAATGTGGGTTTGTTCTCTTGTGAGTGAGTACCCTTGGAGGCCAGAGTCATTAAACTTCATCTAGGTAAATAATATAATTTCACACCTGTGATAGGTACTTGGAACCTTAAGTCTCTTTCCCATTGCTGTCTCTATATATCATTCTCTGCATATCCTGCCTCAAAAATCAAACAAAGGAAAGAAGGAAGGAAGGAAGGACGGAAGGAAGGAAGGAAGGAAGGAAGGAAGGACAGAGGGAGGGAGGGAAGGCAGGAAAGAATGAAGAGGGAGAGGCAGGGAGGAAGGGATGAAGGAAGAAAATGTAATGAGTCTAGATTTGGGGCTTTCATGAACTTCTTACTCTTAGAACATGGGCTTGAATCTTTAGACCAGATCCCATAGTCTGAATAGGTCAAGCTCCACCTCCTCACTGCTCTGTGAAGCAGCTAAGAAACTCTATTATGTGCCCTAACAGCTCCTCCAGATTATTGGACCTAACCAAGATCTGAAGCCCCATACTCTGTCACTTATGCTATGGTGAACCAAATCACATGACAGGAAACTTCCCTCCTGAATGAAAAAGAGGAAAGGAAGATATGACTACTCCTACCTATGGTGGAAGAGATGGTTTATCATAGATATGAGGAAGAAAACAGACAGAGGCACCCTGAAGGTTCCAGAGTGAACTGAACTGGCCATGTGAGGAGAGTGGAAAGACAGGAGCCAAGATTGGTGACCAATAGGTCAAGAACCCCAAAGGGCCTGTGTAGTCAAAATGGCTGGGTTATATAGGGAAGAGCAGCTGGGGGAAGGGCAGCCCAGCCGAGTCCCTGGGCTAGAGAATTGAGAGTAGGGGTGGGGTGCACCAGGTACTGGCCTTGCTGAGAAAAAAGTAGCCAGTGTCTGCTTTGATATGTTAGTAAAGACCTTAGTTACCCTTTACCCTGGGACCTAGCACGTAGAACTGCCACCACTAAAAGATTATAACAAGCCATACTTTCCCCTTGCTCTGGGGACCAGCCTGAGACTCCTCAGGGGGAATGCTGAGAGGATTATTTTGCAGGCTGCTCTGTGAGGAGGATCCTCTGTCTGCCTTGCCATTCCAGTAATGGCAACTATCTCTAGTCCTCCTTATTCCCATCTCCCTCCCACATTCCTGCTCTTAATGAAGCTCCTTTCCAGGTTGTAAAGAGAAGTCCTTGCTTTCCTGGAAGCCTCTTCATACCCCATCAAGGAATGAAGTTGATTGTATCATTTCTGTCTAATGCTCTCCCTCCCAGCTGGAGATCTGATCTCAGCTTTTAGGCCTCCTCATTCGAAGAAAGCTCATTGGACGGAATTGTGTGTCAGCGTCTTTTACAGCTGTTGCTCATGCTATTACACCACCCAGTGACCATGAACAGATATTGGAGGGAATACTCTTCTATCAAGGCATTTCCATTGTTCAAGCAACACATTGTGTAAAATGATATGATGTGATTTCAAAGGCCCAAGGCAGGGCAGACAAGGAATATAACTCTCCACCTATACATATATGGGGCCTGTGTAGGGTTTGGCCACCGACAGGATCAATAAAGACCAGCCAGGAAGTAGGCCTGAGCTACCATTTACCATAAGACCACATCTGTCTCCAGGAAAGACCACAAATTGAGACCATCTAGGCACCACCCAGGAACGTCCAAGGGGATGTTCTAACATTCCAAAAGAAATACCTAAACTTCCAACCATTGTGGATGAGATCGCCAAAGGTCCCTTAGTCCAACACACGCCCATCGCCTTTCACCAAGACACCCCTAGACAAATGTCAGCCAGTGAGGGGTCCTGAATCTTATAAATCCCCCCACCCCAAGCTCTGCCACAATAAAACCCCCACTTCAACTGAACTCCAGACTCTCCATTCTTGTACTGCTATGTTGGACACATAGAGGGTTCTAGATTGAGCTTGAAAAAAGGCTCTTAGCTTTTGCATGTGGATTCAGATTCCTTGGTGGTCTTTGGGAGACTCCATAAACTGGGCATAACAGTCTGTGCTCAGCAAAATCAGCTGACCCTTGTGGAAGCCAGCTCATCAGTGCAGCAGCTCCCTGCGTGGCCTGCTTTTCAGGTGAGAACCCTAGTGCTTTTACTGTGTTGAGAATGGGTGATTTAACGTTCTAAGATATAACCACAGAAAAGAGGCAATTCTTAAAATCACATACTTTCATCTTAAAGCTCCCCACTGTGTTTCAGGAAGGAGATGAATGCAGTTTCAATGACCAACAAGACTTTCCCAAGTACAGTTAGGACATGAATCCCGATTTAGGTCTTGAATTAAGATTCATTTTAGGACTTCACCTAAGCAAATAAAAGTTGTTCAGTGCCTCTAAGGAGAATATTTAAGGCTGGGTTTGGTGGCACATGCCTGTGTTCACAACACTGAAGACAGAGGCAGGAGGATGAGGAGAGCATGGCCATCAGAGGATAGCCTGAAATACAGGAGAGCTGGTCTTTACACAATTCAAAAACAAGTGCTTAATCAAACATGTTCATAAGAACTTTGTGTTTCTTTGTTCTGGAAAGAGAACAAATTATTAGCAAACAGAGGACACAGCTTACTTACAAGAACTAAGGAAAGAAAACAAAGAAAGCTTACCTGGCTTGATTTCCAATGAAAAGGTCACTTTGAGATCATTGAACCATCCAGGGACCTCCACGCGACAACAATACAGACCACCGTCACTCGGGACAGCATTCTCTATTGTCAAGGACACGTTTCCTCCTGAAATATTCCCCTTTAGCTGGTATCTGCTGCTCCTCTGATAGGTGACGCGGTATCCATTGGTCCAGATAAGTGTGTTGGTACAATGAGAAGACGGACATGCCCCTTGGCCCCAGCACGTGGTAAAGATTCCACCACGTGTTGAGTAAGTACACGGCAGTGTGACAGGGTGACCTACTACCCCCTTCACTACTTCATAAGAATCCACAGCACCTGTGATGTAAGAAGGGGGGAGAGGGGAGGAAATGGAGAGTTAGTATCCAACATGTTCCCAAAATTTTGCTGTTGTTCTTAGGAAAAATTACGGGGAGGATGGGCTGCAGTCCTTCTTTTTTATTGTTTTGTTTCACTATTTTATTGGTTTGGTTTGATTTTTTGTGGGTAGGCATAAAAGGAAATGACAACTTAATGTTTGTGGTTGTTATCCTTTGGTTTTCTGAGCCAGGATCTCACTTTGTAGCCTTGGCTGACCTGGAACTTGCTGCATGAACCAGGCTGACTTCAAACTCTCAGAGCTCTGCTGCCTCTACCTCCCCAATCCTATGATTAAATGTCCAGTTTTACTGCTTGAATTTGAAGACTGTAAACATTTTTGTATATTCTTCCTCAGTGTGATCATTTAATGGATACATTTGTGAGTAAAACAACTTATCTGTGGCATGATATTCACTCACTCTTCTTCTTCTTCTTCTTCTTCTTCTTCTTCTTCTTCTTCTTCTTCTTCTTCTGCTGCTGCTGCTGCTGCTGCTGCTGCTGCTTCTTCTGCTTCTTCTTCTTAGTGTGTGTTTATTTTGGAGACAGGGTCTTTCTCTATGCCTCATGCTGGCTCAAAAATTACAATCCTCCCACCTCTGCCTCCTGAGTGTGTGGTACTTAGCGTATGCCACTAAGATCAGCTCAAATGTTTCATTTTTGAACATTTTTAAGCATTATTTCAGTAAATAAAGTGGGTAATTCTTGTAAACCTAGAACTCAAGAGTAAATGAGAAACTCCCTTGTATACCCAGAACTTATTTGTATTCCTAGAACTTATTTGTGTACCCAAAACTCGCTTGTAGTACCAGAGCTTGGGAGGTAGAGGGAGGAAAATGAGGAATTCAAGGACAACTTCAGATAATAATAAATTCAAGACAGGCCTAGATTTTGGAGACCCTCTCTCAAACTATCCCTTCTTCTTCCTCCATACTGCTAAGACAACAAAATCACTAAATCTCCCCCACCTCTGATCAAAGAGCAGAGCCAGGGCTTTGGAACAGCAGCGTTGGCTTCAATCAGAACTTTAGTAACATCAAAGTCAATATTCAGGAAGGGTTTTAGAAAAACACGTGGAGAGACAAGCGGTGATGGTGCACACCTTTAATCCCAGCACTCAGGAGGCTGAGGCAGGTGGATCTTTGTGAGTTCAAGAACTGGAGACCAGCCTGGCTTACAGAGTGAGTTCCGGGACTGGCTCCATAGCCAAGGAGAAACCCAGTCTCAAAACAAACAAACAAACAAACAAAAAAGGAAAACCACCCAGGAGGGACTGTACATTATTCTGAACTTTATGATTAGCCCTTCACAAGAAAAAAAAACAAAAACTAGTAAAGACAGAGGTCCCTTCTTATAAGTTGATGACATTCTAGAACTTGAGCAAAACCCACTTATAAAATAAGACCACACAGCTGAAGAATATGCAACCAGTACCTTAAAGATGCAATTTTAAAAACTGAAATAATTACATATAATTTTTGTGGAATGATGGAATAGAATTTCCAATACCAACAGCTTCAAAAGTTGCCTTTAAAGCAACTCTGAGGGCTGAAGATGGAGTTCCATGCTATAGTGCTTGGGCTAGCCCATGCTAGCCCCTCTGTTGGATTGCAGCACTGGAAACAAATAAGCTAACAGAAGTACAAAACAATGAACTATGATATTCTCTAACTAATCACTTATCTGCGAGCCTAGGATGAGAGTCTGGGACATGATCCAAGAAAGCACAGTCCTAACTGCATAAAATGAGCGTATTCCTTCCTGAAGCATACATTACTTGATTTGTCAAATACCTTGTTTCGGATCACAAACAAAATACATACTATTTTCATTAAGTCATAGGAATAAATTTGATCTCTCACCAGTGATCTCAGCTCTTAGGAGAATCTCAGATCTAGAGACAGGAGGATTAGAAGTTTGAGGTGATCCTCAGCTAGCTATGGAATCAGAGGCCAGCCTGGATTAACTTAGAACCTGCCTCAAAGACAATTATGGTGGTCCTTCTTTCCTTCCTCCCATAGAAAGCTTTGAATTAGAACGTTTTTAAGATAAATAATTTCAAATGGTTTAAACAAGCAAAAATGCACAAAGAAATGGAAAGAAGGCTGATTTTGATTAGCCATCCTGCATGGAAAGCACTGTTTCTGATTTTTTTATTAGCCATTGACTATCACATGTATGCATGTGCACTTAGCCCATACTTGTGTATCACATGCATGCATATGTTCCTGCCCCTTGCCTGACATGTTCTTGGGGATCATGTTTATCTAGCCATAAGTTTTGAAATTCATACAGGTGGAGCAAGTTCTTTGGAGCTATAATTTACCTGATTCTCTGCTCATTACATAACCCATAATCAAAAAGCCCAAGGATGATCATCTCTCCTGTCACTCTAGCCTCCTTAGCATCCCCCAGCTCATCCACTCACTTACCTGGGAGAAGAAGTATGAGGCCAGAAATGAAGACTTGAGGCTGCATCATGGTGCTGACCTGGAGGACAAGGAGAAGATGCTCTGGTTGCTGTGGCACTCAGCACGCTGTACCCAGGCAGGTCTGCATTCTGACTGTGACTCACACAGGCCTCTCTGCCAGGGACCCTGTCCTCCCCAACACCCTCTTCTTTCCTGGTCCTTCCTCACATACAGCCAGCAATCTCACTTCTCTGGTCATGACATAAATAAGGCAGCAAGTAGAGAAAACTGGAGGCAGAGATGAGAGTGTGTTCTCTTGGTAGAACTCTAAGCAGAGACCAGCCCTCTAATGGCAAAGACAGACTTGCCTCTCAGTGAACACAGAGCTGTTTCTGCCTAGCAGATAAAGGAGCTGGTCCCTGAATCTCAACCACCTTAATCACTAGCAAGATGTCCTGAGCCAGAATGCTGCTGCACATGGTATCTGAGACAACATTTTCCTGGGGAACGTCTAGAGACACACAGAAAAACACTGAGTACAGATCCAAACCTTCCATTCACAGAGCCCCTCCATGCCTAGATTTCCTCCTAGGTAAAATAGCACTAATGTTTGCTCAGATTTGGAGAATCTGCTGTTAAAGGAGACAATGGGTTACTTACTCACCGGCACCAAATCCTCATGGAACTCCTTAGACAACTACTTTTAAACCCAATTATGGAGGATGTTACGTGTATTCAGATTTCAATATCCGGATTTAAACGTTTGCCTCTTAATTGGTAAACCATAAAAACATGAGTAAGCCTGCCTGGTACTTCATTAACTCCATTTCTAGTCAGAAGAATCCATGACTTCCTCTCAGAGAGGAAAGTGTGTCCTGTTACCAGTCTTCCAGATGGAAATAGCTTTCACGAATCTTCCATGAGCTCAGCATCTTCAGGCCTGGGGCCCTGCACTACTACACTAACAGCGCCTGTTCTTAGAAGAGATCAGAAAACTAATGCTGCAAAATGCTGGCCAAACAATGATTGTAATGAACGTCTCAAGTGTCTTATTTTTTATGGCAAGATAACTCCAGAACACATAAAACCAACATGAGACACAACTATCTTACTTTTTTATCATGGTTCCAACCGTCCTGTCCCTTTAGAGTTCTATTGAGGAAGGGCGGTGAATTTGGGCATTCACTGTCTCACACAGATGGCTACCCTTCTTGACACAAACTATCACTGAGCCATCTCTCAGGGTGTCCTATGACCTACTTGCTCATAAAATGAAGCAAAAAGATGTGGATGGTTAATAGCTTTCCAGGTTCCCGAAGGAAACCTTCTCCACATTCTGAATTCAACTGAGTAGCTAGGGGAGTTCTACAATGGAGTAAGTGCCTTCTTTGCTGATGGCTGGAAATCCTTTCATTTTCTGTCTTTATATGCTTAAGAAGAACATACTAGAGGCCACCAAATTTTGAACTGTAGTTTACTGTAAAAGCCACACCTGTGAAGATACTGCAGGGAGACTTTGGAAGGATGGAAAGTTGTAATTCAAGAGCCTTAATAGCATAAATTCTTTCTGTCCTTCTCAGTGGCCATTTACTACCAACCTCTGCATCTCTGCTTACATACTTGTGACAATCAGGAACAACTTCTGGAATGTATTGTTACATTTTCACACAACTTCCACCAATTCTATAGCTAAGAATTATAGAACACTTATAGAACACCAAAAATCTTGAGAAGAGATCCCTGTGTTCTCTTGTGTCCCATCTGCCTGATGTCCCCACCAGGATCCTTGGTAAATGCACCAATTTATGACTTCCTTTTGTCCTGGGTCTATAAAAATTCATGTAACCCCTCCACAGTGGAGCATGAAATTCATGATAAAACAATCTGTGCCTCGCTCACTAAAAATTGGATCACAATAATCCCTATTTCCTTTGAAATAAAAGCAGCATTCTTCTAATTCACTAAAGATTACATCTAAATAGTTCTTGTATCAGGCAGTGCATGAGCTTGCCAGGGGACACACACACAGTCAGAGGACAACTATGGGTAGCTGGTTCTCTCCTTCTAAATGCAGGTCGTGGGTGTTGAACTCAGGATTGGTGACAAGCACCTTTATCTACTGAGGCATCTGTGTGCTCAAGGGCAGCATTTTGCACTGTCAAAAGCTAGGAGAACCAATGCTAAAGTGGCCCACACAGAATTAAACCATGCCTCCTTCATTTGAAAGGCAACATGTTATAATGCTAGATTTCCTATAACCTAGGACCAGGCCAAATCCCAATGTCCATAAGAAGGATTTTTGAAAAGATTTTTATTTCAATACAGTTACCATTAATAAGCTAAGGATAGGGGAGTATGATTCAGCACAATAGGGATGTAAAGTATCTAGAACTGTGCAAGCAACTCACCACAGGAAAGTAAGCAACCAACAAATAAATTCGCAATGAGACAGCTGTAAATGTGTAATCAGAACATGTCAATGTGTAATCAGACCATGTCACATCCCCCTGACAGCCCTACTTCAGCTCTCTCAAGGACAAGAAACTCAATTCTTTAACCAGAGTTTTTGCAAATGTCCTGATTATCTAGTCCCTGCCTAAGGCTCAAATTTGCTTCCCTGACCTCCTGTGCCACAGTCACATGGGCTTTCTTTCTAATTCATCTCCTAAGGTCATTGCCCAGGTGATGCTCTGCCTGGGCTCTTCTTTTACCCCACAATTTTCACTTTTTCTTCCCTCCTACTCAACCCTGCTTAAAAGTCTGTCTGGACCATTCCCTGTGAACTACGAGATTCCACATGAACCAGTCTGAAGTAGCCTTCTCGTCCCTCTCAGATCTGGGTTGCTCATTGCTGTCAAGTTCCTATTTCTCTGAATATCCATTAGTATAGGTGTGATGGCCTGGTTTCTGCATCTTTTCCCTCCTGGCCAGTCCTACCAAGTGGAATCTTTGTTATCGTCTTTTCGTTGTTTTAGCAGAGCTGACATGAGTTTATTAACGAAAAGCAAAAAGGGGTTCCTAAGAGTAGAGGAGCCCCCAAACTGAGGAATACTGGAGTACTCTAGAACTCCCCCTTTTTTCAGACAGTTTCCTTCTCTCTCACTCTGTTTCTCTTTGTCTGTCTGTCTGTCTGTGTCTGTCTGTCTGTCTGTCTCTCTCTCTCTCTCTCTCTCTCTCTCTCTCTGTGTGTGTGTGTGTGTGTGTGTACATGGGCACACATGCATACACACACACACACAAAAAAAAAACACATTTTATATATGCCTTGCCTGAAACTCACTAAAAGTTCCAATTAAAACTCACAAATTTCTTCCAAATTCCACTTCCAGAATTACAGGTTTGTGCCACCATGTCCAGTCAATAGAACCTTCTCCGATAAAGGTGTCGCTATGGATGAGCTCTGTGAAGTATTGTAGCTACCAGCGACTAATTTAGCACTGGAAACATGGCTAATACAAGAGAGAGAAAAAATTGAAACATGGTCTCTATATAGACCTGACTGTACTGGAACTCACTCTGTAGTTCACGCCGGCTTCAAACTGAGAGATCTGTTGCTTCCACCCCCCACAAAGGGGTTCCTAAGAGTAGATTAAAGGTATATGCCAACATACCCAGCTAGGTTAAGAAAAATTTTTAAAAGATTTGCTTTTATAATACCTTAAGTTATATATGTCTCTGTATGACTCTGTGCACTTGAGTGCAGGTGCTTGCTGAGTCCAGAGACATCAGGTCCCCTAGAACTGGCATGACAGGTGGTTCTGAGTCACCTGATGTGGATGCTGGGAACTGAACACACATCCTCTACAGGAGCAGTACATGTTCTTGACTACTGAGGCATCTCTCCAGCCTCTGCTTGAGTAGACTTCATTTTATTTTTCCATCTAGTTTGATTTTAATTATTAGTATTAAAATATCACACATAGCTACAGTGCTGGATGGCACCCAACTGTAGGTTATATATTCCTTTGAGGAAATTTAAGTGTGGAGAAAAGAGATGAACAAATGAAAACTTAAGGATGTGAGGACAACTCATGCAGAGTTAGCAGCGCAAGAGGCCAGGAGGAAATCTCTTAAAAACTGACACGTGAGAGTCAGGAGTGATGGCTTCTACCTATGATCCCAGCACTTATAAGGCTGAGGCAGGAGGATTGCCATTAGTTAAGGGCAGCCTGGTCTACATAGTAAATACCAAGCTAGACAAGGCTATAGAGTAAGACCCTGTCAATAAAGGAAAAAGCAACGTGTGGTATAGTTCTTTTTTTTTTAATTTATTTATTTATTAAGGATTTCTGCCTCGTCCCCACAACCGCTTCCCATTTCCCTCCCCCTCCCCCGATCAAGTCCCCCTCCCTCATCTGCTCGAAGAGCAATCAGGGTTCCCAGAATTAGAGAGGCTGAAGCAGAAGGACTGGCAATGCTGAGCTAGCCCAGGCTATAAAAGAGGGAAAGCACAAAGAAGCAAACCAAATCAAGTGAAAGGAGAAGCTAAGATCTTAAGGAAAAGAGGTGAGGACCAGAAGTATGGAAAGGATTAAGGATTAAGATGGAAACTAGGAGCTGAGCCGTTAAATAACCACACATACGTGTGGTACGGTTTCCCCATACTAGTCCATAGGATTCCACATATCCAGTTGTTGTACCCTAATGTTCACAAAGGACGTAACCCCATGGAAGTGATTGTTTTATTTTAAACCAGCCACTGCTGTCTGTGGATGTGAGCACACCACGGAGCTCATGGGAAGGGAGAAAACACCTGTCGGAAATGGTTTCTCTCCTTCTACCTACTGTTAGGATTTCAGGATCAAATGTGGGTGTCCAGTTGTCCAAGCAATTTGATCCCCTGAGTTTTCTCAGGGATGATGGGATTTTTCTTTGTTAACATGAGCTTTGCGGTCAACTGTGGCATCCTTTAAAGGTTACTCATCACTTGTAGGGGACTACTGTATGACAACAGGACTCAGGAATGTATCAGAATTCCCAGTTCCTCACTAAAGAGCTTCATGTGTGGGAAAATGGAAATAACACACTGCCTAAACCCACCTCCGCTGAGTCTCTGTTCTTTATTGCTGC